GTTTTTTTTTTTTTTTTTTTTTTTTTTTTAAAGAAAATACTTCTTTTTCTTTTTCTTATGTATGTCTGTGTAGGGGAATGTGCATGGGAGTACAGGTGCTGTCAGAGTCCAGAAGAAGCTGTCAGATCCCCTGGAGCCAAAGTGACAGGTGGTTGTGCACTGCCTGACATGGGTGCTGAGAACTGAATTCAGGTCCTCTGCAAAAGCAGTATCTATTCTTTACTGCTAAGCCATCTCTCCAACCCTATTTCTTTTCTATGAAATTTAGACTGAGTCCAGTCGTCTCTAACAAAATGATGCAATACTATGTATAATTATAATATAACCTAAGTTTCTGTGCTACTTTACAGATTGAATCTAGAAGTTGAAACGCCCAGAAAGAGACCAAAATTCAGTTCTTCATCCCAAGAACCCATTAAATTCCAAGAAACATCGTATTCAAATAATAATCAAACTACTTCACATAGTTGTTCATCAAATGGAACTAAGAAAGATAATAAACTTAAAGATATTAAATTGACAAATATTGGGAGTAAGTTTGCCTGTGAAATAAAAAAACGTGGTAGTTTTAAAATTACCAAAGATACAAAATCTAAAGCTGATGCCCAGTCAAAGGAAAAGTATCAGCCATATTTACCTGTTCAAAGGGAGAAGATCAAAGAACTCAAAGAAAGGAACAGTAAGTTTAGAGACAAAGCCAAAAAATTGGAGGAATGCAAGAAAAATCAACTTTCTCAGAATTATAATTCCACCAAGGTAATCAAGGAACCCTTTGAATCTAGAAGGAAGAAAATTAGCTTCAAAATTCCAAAAAAATGCTGCAATACCCTCCAGAAAGTTGTAGAAGAAAATGTCTTCAGTTTAGAATCTAGTAAGTCAAAGATTAGACAGGAGGAAAAAGAATGCTTGAAAAGTTACCCGAAGTCATTAAATTTAACCAGGCACAAAACTGGAAACTTGTTTTCAGATTCCACATATAATCAGACTGTTCATGAGGGAAAAAGAAAATACCATCATGAGCATCAAGAAAGTAATGGTTCAGATTCTAAGGAAAAACTTGCCCAGGTAATGTACAAAATGGGGAATTTGGGGGCAAATTTTTTTAATATACTCGTTTTAGTTTTTTCTATTACTGATAATAATCATAATGGACTGATTCAAATTTAGTCATACAGATAATATATTGGTTTCTTGTTTTATCCTCTTGAATTCTAACTTCCTTAGGATGATACTGATATCATCTGGTTTTGGAGCAGTGTCCAGGTTCTTGTGTCTTGGAACAACAGATTAGACAGAGGCATGTAGCCATTAGCAAGCAAAGGGAGAGAAATTATTTTAAAAGGATACAGCAGGTACAGTTTATTAGGAGAAGGTACATATCCAAGGGGGAGAAGATGGGCGAGGGCAGAGAAAAGATTAGCAGCTTAACTCCCTACTACACAGAAAGTTGCTGGTTTTGTTATCTTAGTGTGGGCTTTTCTGTGTGTGCTATGTTATATGTAGTTCTACAGACAACTTCATGCATTGCATGTTGTATTAGAATCTTTGATCTCCACCCAAGGGTATGCATCTTAGTGTTATAATGTAGGTCACTTTCAGACACTCTGGAGTGCCTCTGCAGCTAGCTGTTCTCGTGGTGAGAGCCAGCTGGGTTGGGGGGCGGGGGATATGGTATGCGGGTATTGTATTTTAAACTTATTTGCCAACTACTTTTCTTATATGTTAAGTTTGTAAGACTTTCTGCCCTATTTTCCTGCCACAATTTCTTGGCAGGTATTAAGGATTCATAGCAAAAGGGAATGTGTATGCACAGAGAAACAGTTACAGATGGTCCTTTGAAATAAACTCTGAAGCAGTCTTTTCAGGCTTTTCTCACCCCAGATAGAAGAGCCCACAGATGTTAATATTTTAACCTAGCTTATTCCTTTAACACATTGCTTTTTTTTTTCTTCATCTTTTTGAGACAGGATCTCTGTGTAGCCCACTGAGATCCTCCTGCCTCTGCCTCTCAAGTGCTAGGATTAAAGGCATGCACCACCATGCCCAGCATAACACATTGCTTTTTAAGTGTTACTATGTGCCAGATACTACCATAAAATAGACTGTAAGAAACATACAGTTTTGATTCCAGAGACATTATTATTATTATTATTATTATTATTATTATTATTATTATTTGAGACAGGGTCTCCCTGTAGCCCCAGCTGGCCTGGAATTCACTATATAGATTAGGCTGGCCTTGAACTCACAGAGATCCACCTGCCTCTGCCTCCTGAGTGCTGGGGTTAAAGGCATGAGCCACCACACCCGGCGATTTCAGAGACTTGCTATCATAAGGAGAGACAGTTTCCTTAAATATAATAAAGTAGCTGGATGTGGTGGTACATGCTTTATATATACTTTTTTAATTGAATTTTTGTGATTGTCATACAATATAATTTGATGGTATTCAGATCACCTCCCCTTATTTAATTAGACCTATAGAGTCTAATTTGTGTCTCCAAATGTCCCTCAGTGTGGGTCCATCCACTGGAGTCTCTTTAACCTACTAAGACTCCCATCCTTGAAAGAGACTGTCTCCCTCCTAGCAGTTATTACCAAAATTTCCTTAGGTTGACTTGGAATTTCTTACCTACCTCCCCATGTCTATGCTGGGATTTTATCTGGATTGAGCTTGCATGGGACTTGTGCATGCTGTCACCATTGCTGTGAGTTCATAAGAGTAACTTTCTTGCTGTCTGGAAAACTGGTCCTTGTGGTCATCCACCACCTCTGGCTCTTAAAATTTTTCCATTCCCTCTTTAGCAATGATCCCTGAGCCTTGGGAGGCAGAAATTTGACATAGGTGTCTTATTTAGGGCTAAGCACTCTTGTAGACTGGTTCTCTGTACTTTGGCCAGTTTGGGGTTTCTATGTGTCATTGGGAGTCAGTTTAATACAATAACTAATTCTAGGAGAGGCAGAGGCAGAGGCAGGTGGATCTCAGTATGTATGAGACTAGAGGCCAGGCAGGACACATAGAGAGATACTGTCTCAAAAGAAAAAAGAAAAATACTGGGATATACAACATGAGATTAACAGAGCCTGGTACACTGTGGAAGTTAAGAAAGGTTGACTAGAGAGGCTTGTCTTGAGAACCACAGAATGGATAGGGTTTACTCAGGTAAACATGAAATAGAGTGGAATAGGGGAGCAGGAATATTCTAGGCAGAGGGTATTACATTGTTATAACCACAAATTTGAGTTCAGAGTGCACCCACTGAGATTTCTAGGTTTTTGTGTCTCAGAATGAAAACTTGATGGTAGGATTAGAAACCATTTATTTATTAAGGAAGAGACAATCTTAAAAATGGAGGTGGGCTGAAGAGCTTGCACAAACAGGTCCAAGGCTTAAAAACCCCAGTCCCTCAGGGTCCTGACCCTGTTATAGATCATTTCATGATACATACCTTCTCCCACAAGCTTTTCTTGTGTATGTTCTGTCCCTTACACACAGACCTCGTGGGATGGGTTTACAGTCTTTCTGCCAACTGGCTTCTTTCATGTGACTCTCTCTGTGCCCTACCCTCCTGCCACAACAAGAACAAAAATCCAAGCTAGAAACCTGGCACATACTTGCTTCTAGGTTATATAATAAATTGGCATTTTGTGACTACTTTGAGGACCCATCTCTCTATCTTTTTCTATGGTGATAAATTTATCTTTAAGAGAACTTTCAGAATTTTGGAATATCAGAACTTATAGTATTTAAAAAGCTGGGTGTGTGCTGGGCTTGGTGGCACACAACTTTAATACCAGTACTGAGGAGGCAGAGGCAGGCAGATCTCTGAGTTTTAGGCCAGTGTAGTTTACATAGCAAGTCTGAGTTCAGCCAGGACTACATAGTAAAATCCTGTTTGGGGGGTCGGGGTCGGGGGAAGCTGGCTATGTATGGTTGCACGTATCTGTATTCCCAGCACGTGGGAGGTAGTGACAGGAGGATCAACTTAAGGTCATCTTTAGCCATATAGTGAGTTGCCAGCCTGGAGTGGGCTATACTAGACTGTCCCCAAAGAACACGGGGGGGGGGAGGG